TCCTCCTCCTCCTCCCCCTCCTCCCCCACCCTTCTTCCTTCTTCTCCTTTCAAACTATATCACGGTTCTAAACCAGCATATTATTATGATGATGAGTTGCACCATCAGCCAGATGTTGAGACAGGATTTGGCATTTTTATCCACCCATCGAGTCCTTCCCAAGGACCTGAGAGAGGCAGATGTGGTCGTCGGATGGTGTTCAAGGTATCATCGCAGGATGGAAGCTGTTCCAAGTAAAGCTGCCTTTTGCGATGGACTGATGGTGATGTTTTATTATTTTATTTTATTAAATATTAAAATATACTATTTTATTATTTTACTCTCCTCCTCCTCCTCCTCCCCAGGGAGAAAGAGGACTTCACTGTTAATCCAGGTGGGCCCAAATGCACATGTGGAACTTTACCGAGAATGAAAACGGACAGACGTGGCTGAGAGATGGGCCGCATGTTTCTTCCGATCCTTTAGGACACGATATTTGATTTACATTGATTTATATTATATGCGGCCTATATTGTGTTTTCTACTCGCCTGCTAAAAAAGCCAGCCCTGTGAGGGGGGCTGGGCTGAGGGAGAGTGCTTGGCCCCGATCCACAGAAGCTCTCAGGGCGACTTTGAGCCAGCCGTTCTGTCCCAGCCCAACCCCCCTCACAGGGTTGTTGTGGACAAAAGCGGGAGAAAGAAACTCCTAACAAACTTCAGTTAGTGAAGGTCGGATTGAGCACAGTATAAACAAGTTATCTGCAGAAAGGTTATGAGTCTAACCTTAAGCAGAAGATTTCACTTCCAGGGAAAACAGCTGACTGACGTGAACCACGGCGTGTGATTCCCGCAGCTTTGCGTCCTTTTAATTAATCAGAAAAATGGTATTTTAGAGGTAGGGAGCCCATTTACCAAAAAAGCCTAATTGCTTCCTCCACAAAAAGAATCACGTCCCACTTCTCATATTGCATATTGCATATTGCAATCATCAGTTCATAGAAAATGACTAACCCAACTAGGAAAGAACTAGGGAATTTGTTTAAATAAATATTAACAAACAGGTGCTATTTATATCTAAACTGAAGCTCTGAGATGTGTCTGAGTTGGGTGGATTGGCCAGCTGAAGACTAAAAATAACTAATATAATCAACAGCTGATTTCCAGGGAAAGAGGGAGTGGGAGAGAAGGCTTCCTGTTGGCTCCCCCGTTGACTTTGCTTGTGGGTCGCCGGCAGGGAAGGTCACAATGGTGATCACGTGACTGCGGGGACGCTGCGATGGCCGCAACAATGAGGACCGGTCGTAAGTCCCCCTCGTTCAGCACCATTATAACTTGCAACGAGTGGTCATTAAATGAGGACTGCCTGTATTAACAAAGAGCTCTGGATACTGTGGCACTTTAAGAGAGAAAGAATATTTTGGGATGGAAGAGGCCCATCCTCCCCAATCCAAAGGCATCGCACAGCCTTAGCAGCTGGAGGAGTAGCAACGGGAAACCCAGGTCTTAGGATAAGAGATCGGGGGTGGGGGGCTTGCCTAGCCGCATCAGGCGGTTGCAGGATCAACTCCTCGGCAGGAAGCTTCCAAGGTTACCTTCCTTTGCTACCTAAAAAGATGAATGGAGATTCTGGGAAAGCAGGGGAAGGAAATTGGAGGGGCAGAGGGGGACTTTAGAACAACAACAACAACAAAACCCCCAACCAAGCAAGTCTTGTTTGGCCAGAATCTGATACTCCAGTGGAGTGGGACATGCAAACCCAGCTGTGGGGTGGCCGGAAGGAACGTCCTCCACCTTTGCCCCACCACCACCGCTGCCGCCCGGAGTTTCACGGAAGCAGAACTGAGGCTGATGTTAGATTCCCAAGGCTGATTTCCCAACCCCAGAAGCAGGAGACGCAGCCTTGACTCCAGTTAAACTTTGGCTTGCCTGGCCCTGCCACCCAATCACCTTGAGATAAGGCCTCCAGACGGCCTTGGGATCCCTCTGCAAATTTGCATGGCTTTTAGAGGAAGGAGAGACTGAAGACATGGGGAGGGGGGAGAGATGGAGAGACCCCGCACCTCCAAAGGTTAACAAGGCCAGAGAGTGGTTGGGGCAGAGCAGAAGAAACCAGCTTCTCCAGACAATGGACCTCTTGGTCTTAGAGCTGAATGAGCACCCTGCTTTCACGGTCTTCTTTCTGCTACTTCAGAATCTGCTAATTCAGACTGGCTGCATCTGGGAGAGCCTCCTCCTGAAAACGGTGTTCAGTCCTGGCCATCCTTTTGCCCCCCATTTTTTCCTGATGGCTCCCTTGGAGACATACCAATATTCCCAACCATTTCAAACACAGTTTACTGAATGAACCCAGTTTCCTTTGCTCACGCAACCTGCTGAAGTTGGATGCTCTGGCTGAGTTTGCACAACTGAGCCATGGGCAAGCGACGTTTTAGACAGGCAGCCGCTGGATTAAGCTGCCTGGAAAAACCCAACTCAGCTGGGCGTGCCCATTGCCCTAGGCCAAGGCCAAACCCACATCAGGATGGATTGTTGAGAGGTGTTCAACTAGCCTAGCAATAATTTAGCCTTGTTCTGCCTGAGGCTGGACTTCTTTTGTGCTGGGGTGTTTAGGCCACAACAGGTTTTGAGTTGGAAGTGGACGTGGGAGGAAGAGCTTGACCCAATAAAAGTTTATTCAACCCTCCTAGAAATAAAGAGATGTTGTCAATGGCAACACTTAGGCAGCCCGGAGAGACCTTTCCTTTCACCCTCTTCCATGCCTAGAAAGGTTTTTGGCACCAGAGCAGTGTTCTGTCTTTAACAAGTGTGACTGCGTATATACCATATTTCTTTCTTTTCAGATGTGATCTAATGCAGGGTTCCTCAACCTTGGCAACTTTAAGACATGTGGACTT